ATGAGCAGGTTCCATTATGGTCATAAGTTGACTGTATTCCTCAAAATATGTGATTTTTTAATTATATTCCATAATATAATTACACAATGTAAAGTTTTACTTTGTTTTGTAACCTAATAGTTTCCATATATAACATGCAGCATTAAATCAGATATTCAAACAGATCCATAATTAAGGAAGGTTTCCAAGATTTCAGTGCAATCAAACAATCATTTTCAGGTTGTTGTTTTTCCTGAAGTTCCAGCTGACCAAAGCTAAAATAAACACATAATAATAGAACTGCATATGTGGAAAATTAAATCTATCTTTCCCAATGTGCAATTTACATAGTGAAACTCTCAAAGGATGTTCCTGTCAAAAAATATTACTTAACAGCATATAAATTCACTTACAATTATGTGAAGGAATAAAAATAGGAAGTACTTTTGAAATATAAATGAAACTCAGATTTAAATTCACGTAATCAAATGATCTTCCCTGTAACTCTCAGAGGAATGCTAGATTATTTAAAACTTGTTTGTGTAAAATTGGGATATGCTAAAATTTAGCAGGTTAGAGGTAAAAAAAGGATATTTATATTAAGATAAATAAATGAATTAGAGTAAAATCTAAAACACAAACCCCAATTAGTTTTATGTCTTCCATATATAATAGCTTCAGTCATTCCTTTTAAATATACTATAATTCAAGGAAATGAATATACCTAATACTCTTGCTACTTACTGTATTTATCCTCAACAATAGCCCTGTGAGGTGATAAGATATATCTTTAGTAGGATTTTTTTTTCAGTTTTACTGCATGCATTTTCAAAACTATATGGATGGATGAGAAATTTGTTCCATCTCAAATTTTAGATGAATATATTCATTTTGTACTTCTGAATGCAAGGACATACTGAAATCTTACTTTTCCAAGTTTTCACTGCAATTCACATCTTAAGACATTTTAAGAAAAGTCTTTACAAATAAATATACATATTACTGGAAGAATATATTGGAACAAATGGTGTTTAATCACAGAATATTCCACAATGAATATTCTTTAGCATCTTTTGACCATCTTCTCATGATAAATGACTCCAATACAAAGGAACAGACTCATGTTTGTTCCTCAAAGATTCTGGAACTGTGGTTCAATGCAGGCAATAAGGGCCCTCCATAAATCCTCAAAGGAAAGGTCATGTCTATTAAATCAGTTTATATCATAAGACTATCCTTCACAATGAAATGAACACCTTTAAAGATATTGGTTACAGTTTGCTTCTGGGTCCAATTCAAAATGGTCGTTAACTTTACCTTAAAGCCCTTTATGTCATGGATCTAGGATATCTGAGGAACCATTTCACCCCAGTGGGATTAGCCTGCGCCAGTCGCTCCAGCAGAACAGGCTTACTTCAGACCCATCAACATCTGCTAAGGAATTTCAGCTAGCATGATTGAGGAATAGACCTTGTTCCACTGTAGCCCCCACCTTGTAGAATATTCTACTTTTGGAGGTGATGTCTGTTCCCACCTTCCTGGCCTTCCAGAAGGATCTAAAATTTTGTTTTTGCCTGTTGGCTTGGTGTCCTGATGGGAGCATTCCTTGCTGGAGATGGTTGACATAATAAGAAGACCTCAGTCCTGTGTGCCATCCACCTCCTTGGTCTTATTTCTTATGTAGCATTTTAAATTGTAATTGTTTCCATATTTATCTTTTTTTATCATTTGTAAGCCTCCCTGAGTCACCTTATCGGCAAGATGGTTGGCACATAATTAAATAAATAAATAAGTAAATAAATACAGTGAATGAGATTATTATTGGGTTTATTCATACTGTTGCAGCAGTTTATGCTAACTTGTGGTTCAGTTTGGTTTGCCACATAAAAGGATATCCTTTCTGGAACAAACAGTAGCTCATACAGCATTTGCTTTGCAGCTGCACATTAAAACATCTGGACTGACATCATTGATGTATCTCAAGATAATCCTTACAACCTCCAACTACAATTTATATCAAAATTGTATTCTTTTACAGAATAAGCAAAGACTCATAGTTTGACTTGTGGTGTCTTTATAGATATATTTATATACTTTATTTCATACCAACAGTTTACTATTGTATTCTTCTCTATATTCTTTATATTCCCATTTTAGTCTTCAAATCTGGCATTTATTAATTGTCTTCCACCTAAGTATTGCTTAGGTCCAATATTGCTTAAGGTTAATGCTCAGGATTGATATATTGTATGTCAGTGAAAATATATACCGGTATATTTATGAAATCTAATATTTGGTTTCTGGATTATACAATATTATTAAATACTTGTAGGGCATACCTAAACTCTATTGTGGTGGATTTTGCATGGTAGTACATTTAATAAAAGGCCCCAAGGAGTATGTCTCTTGGGTTATTGATTTTAACAGGCCTTATAGCCTGGAACTAGTTGTGACTACAGTAATCTGATGGAAAATCTGCTAAATTTATGATGAGTTACTTTGAACTAAATAGACATACAGTCCTAAACCCTAAGGATTAAAAGGCCATTATCCATATAACAACTCCTTGGACAGATTGAGAATTAAGGCTGAGATAAATCTGTCAGCTTTAGCTCTTTATCCCAAAGAAGACCTATTATAACCATAGAAGACAGAAGCTTCTCTAGATATCTACTTAGAGAACCTACACTCTAGCTTTTCTCAGATGTGTTGGATTATAGCTGTCATCATCTCCAAATACTGCAACGGTGTCTGCATCTGAATGGCAATAGGTTATCTGGTGACCATGAAACCAGGTTTTTCATCAGTGGGATACAAAATGCTTTACTCTCTTGCTGGATATCTGGAACTATTTATAATTAGGTTTTTTTTAAAATGTGTGTTAATGAAGTCTGCTCCTTTCTTTCCAAGATCTTTTGATTCTTCTTCTGTCCTGGGGCATGGTTTCCTTTTCAATCCTCTTTAATTTCTCTGGTTTCCCTTTAATTTAAATATATTTTATTTATAAATAGGTATAGAAGCAGAATTCAGGATTTGCAAAGAAATTGGAAAGGGTGAAAATCCCATATGAGAGACATACACATAAATATGCACATGCGTGTACATACTTTAGCAGACACACAAAGATAAGTACCTGACCACCAGAAGTAATTCAAGGCAGAAGAAAAGTGTATGCATGCACTCCAAGACAAAACTTATGATTCTGGTGTTTTAATGGATGTTTGTAAGGTGCAACAAAACTCAGTCCAGTACATAATATTTGTACTAAGAATCATATGTAACAAAACCTCACATGTTTTAAAATATACTTATTCAGAATGTGAAAAGGGTGTTAACTGCTACTTTTTTATACTTTAAAAGGTACACAGAAAAAAATGTGGGTAGGAATCAGTTGTGATATACAGCATGAACTTGGAAAGAGCTGGAGTTCACTGGAGTTCCTTTATTTGTAACACCAACACAACCTATTCCAATCAGTGTCCTTCCAAATATATCCTAGGACCTAGGTATTAGAAGCCCCACTGATGGATGGATTATGTGCCATCAAAAGGTACATCCCATCAGTTCTCTAACTGAGTTCATCCATAATGCTGCAGAAGTCCCATAATCTTTGTCAAATATGGCTAAACCTTGTGGACTGAGAACTTTGGGAAATGAACACATTTGATCAGTTTGGCAAAGTCTAAATTAAACTACCTCAAAAAGATGTTTACTTTAGGTCCCACTGACAGTGCTAGATCAAATAGAAAAATACTTTCAGTTTCATTCATACCAAGGAGTTTAGAAAATAAATTAAGAAACCCTGTACAATTCTAGAGTTTAGTAACTGCATATCTATCAATTAATTGTGATTCACCAATTGTTTAGAATTTGAAACTTTCTATTGTAGATACAACTTCTGATTCAAATCTGGTTACTTTAGCATTTGGAATCACAGATGGTTGGTCTAAAAATCTATTTACTAAGAACTAAATGCCTTAGGAATTTTTATCATGCTTTATTTATTAATTTATTAAATTTATATACTGCCGATCTTGCTTATAATATTCTTTTTCCCTTTGCTCAAAGAATTTTTCAGAACTTCAAAATGCTGACACTAGACATTTGTGAGCTGTCCTGTACAGAAATAAAATTAAGTCAGGTATTCAAGAGGTTGGCCATCTTACTGTTTTAAGGGCAATTTTCCACTGTGTACATTATAATGGACTCCACATTCTGCAACTTCTATACATAATTAATTAATAGCCTTAATGCTTTGCTTATGAATAATCTATCATGTGATGTCAACACTTGAGTGAATTGCCTGAATATAACCTAGCTAGATTAGTATATATTCTTGCCACATAAAGCAATATGTATGGAGAATTTTCTAACAATGTATTCCAAAACTGGAATTGTTCAATTCTTTCAATGGCAGTTAAGAGAAAGATTGCTGGCTTATATATTTTTTTAATCAAGAAGATAAAGGAATAACAATAATCATGTCTTCAGAGAATAAAAATCTCCATGTTGCCATTTGGCAAAACCTTTTCCCATAGTGATACCCTCATGGGCACTGTTTTATTTCTGTTTACTAAGAGATGGAGAACTGTAGAGTGAAGGGAGTTTCCTACTTTCCTACAGACAAAGTGAAATTCATTTTCTCACAGGTCAAGAATTGGGGAAAAGAGATTCATTTCTTATTTACAAAGATGAAACTCCTTAGTTTAATTTGGGGACTTAATGTGAGGACTCTTTGAAGGGAATCACTGGGATCTAGTAGAGAGGCCTGAAATCTGCCAGGCTTCAATAATGCAGTTTCTAAAACCTGGATAATCTCATGAAAGTGAACAACAGCACTCATCTGAGACAGAAAATATCGAGATGCAAGATAGAATGGAAGAGAAATTGACATGATTAATTCTAGTTTGGAGGTGAGCATTTTATGTTGTTTTTCTCCTAGGAGCCAGAGATAGTATTGTTGATGACATCATGGTATCACAATATTGGGCAAAGGGAACATTTTGGGCCTATTTTTGGTCTTAAAGAGGGTGCGGGTGGGGTAAAGGGCAAAAGCCTTCAGTGAAATTTAGCCTGAATGATGGTGAATTTTAAGGATGAAATGACAAAGTTCCAAGCCACCTTAGAGAAAGTGGATAAGTGGAGTACCAAGCTTGGGAGGGCCTATCATGAGCTATTTCAAGCAGTAGGAGTGGTCCATTATGAATGGCAGTGTTTCCTAGTAGTAGACGCTGTTGCATACTTAGATAATTGGTGCCTGCTGAAAACTTTTTAAACTAAATTTCAGGGATTTCAATGAGAATTTTCTGCATACAAAATACTGTATATGTTCTTCCACTAGACTTCAGAATTCTGGGAGTTGAAGTCCACTGGTCATAAAAGAGCCAAGGTTGCCTACCCCTGCACTAGACTATAGACTTCAATAGAGATCTACAGACCTATAGGTCAGAGGCTGGTATTTCTGAGATGCATATGCAAATAAGCACACTCAAATGGTATGCAAATCTGTTTCCCCTTACTATCTTTTAGGTGACACATTTCCTTTTGGGAAGAGTAGCGCATAATTGGCTAACTTATTTGATCCCTAACCAAAATACATCTCAGATATTCTTTTCAGAAGTTATAAATGTGTGGGTCTAGAACAAGGATTCCCAACCGAGGTGGCGCAGCAGTTAGAGTGCAGTACTGCAGGCCACTTTAACTGACTGTGTTCAGCAGGTCAGCGGTTCAAATCTCACCGGCTCAAGGTTGACTCAGCCTTCCATCCTTCCGGGGTAAGTAAAATGAGGACCCAGATTGTTGGGGGCAATGTAAATATATATATACATTGCTTACTGGTGTACACCGCTTAGAGAGTGCTTGCACTTAAAGCGGTATATAAGTCTCATAAATAAATAAATAAATAAACCGGGGTGCTCAAACCCCCTGGGGGTGTGAGATGATATTCTAGGGGGTGCAAAAACTTCGGTTTTCAAAATTATAGTGTATACGCATAATTTGTTGCCGTTATTTCAAACTTTTGTAAGGGGTGCAAGAATATATCAGAAGCATTCTAGGGGTGTTGGGTATAGAAGAGGTTGGAACCGCTGGTCTAGAGACTAAGTAAAGAGTCTGGAGATTAAATCATATGATGAATGGTTAACGGAACTCGGTATGATTAGCCTAATGAAGAGAAGGCTTAGGGGAAACATGACAGCACTTGTCCAATACTTCAAGAGCTGTCACAGGGAAGAAGGGGTCAATTTATTCTTCATAACACCTGAGGACAGGACAAAAAGCAATGGGTAGAAGCTTGTCAGAGGGCGATCCAACTTGGAAATAAAGTTAATTTTCCTGACAGTGAGAATGATTAATTAATGGAACAGCTTGCCTCCTGGAGTTGTGGGTGCTCTTACTGAAGGTTTTCAAAAAAAGATTGCACATATATTTGTTCTGGATGATATAAAGACTCTTGCTTCGGGCAGGAGATTGGGTTAGAAGATCTTTAATGTCCCTCCAGCCCTATGATTTTATGAAATGACTTCTAATTTGGGGGGGGGGGGTATCTGTAGGAGAGGGATTGCAAGGAACATTCTGACTAAACTGTATACACAATGGCAGGAGCAAATCTGTTGTTCTGTCTTTATGATAGTTTTGAGCATTGAAACTATCTGTCCTACAAGATTTGACAGAATGGGGATGCTATGTGTCTTCTCTATAAAACAATGTCATAGCAGAACCCAGGAGGCATGTCTTTCCTATTATGATGCTATCCTTTGTAACACCCACCCTACTCCAGTTTGGAAAGCTTTTCTTCTGGGCATGAGTGGTGAAGAAACCATCTGTATTAGTTCATATGGAGAGATTGTAGACTAGTATAGAAGATAAGGAAAATGACTTTGATGTACATATGTAAAGTCTGTCTCCAGAGCAATAGCAGTGAAACATATTTGAATTCACAACTGGCAGATAATACAGGTAGTCCCCGACGCAGGACCACAATTGAGCCCCAAATTTTTGTTGTTAAGTGAGACATTTGTTAAGTGAGTTATGCCCCATTTTATTACCTTTCTTGCCACAGTTGTTAAATGAATCATTGCAGGCGATAATTTAGTAATATGGTTGTTAAGTGAATCTGGCTTACCCATTGATTTTGCTTGTCAAAAGGTTGCAAAAGATGATCCCATGATCTTAGGACATAGCAATGGTCATAAGTATGAACCAATTGCCAAGCATCTGAATTTTGCAAATGACTCTGTTTTGAACTCCAGAGTTTCAAGAGTCATGGGTGAATTTCAGGTGGCTTGACCATAGGAGTTGTTGGAGCTTATCTGCCAGGACATTTGAAGGGGATGTACACAGAGAAAGAGGTCCACTCTCTGTGTCTGAAGTGGGATCAACAGAGCTAGGTTGATGAGGAAGCAGTTCTGCAAACTTATTTGCCTCGAAGCCAGCACAAGGCCTAATTAGAGACCTGGCTTGTTTTTCTCCTGTGGAACGAAGCCTTTGGTTGCCATGGTGCTCCCTTTATTCTGTAGGGGGGGCTCTGGAAAGAGCAGGGCCTCAGACTGACACTAGATCCTGCAATAATCAGGCCCGAGGTAAGGGTAGAAAATAAGCCTGGAACAGAAGGCACACATTGCCAAGGGCACTCCAAAGCAGAGGCTGGAAGAATAACATGCCCTGCTGGAGAAAATAGCCAAGGGAATTTTAGAATGAAATGTCCGTTTTATTCTATAACTGTGTCACCGTTGCTGCATTTGCTAACAGCAGCAATCTGGGAAAACATTGGTATTTGTGTACTTGTTTGGTCCCTATTTTTATCTTGATGTGGGTTGTTGCAATAATTCTTGGGGTTTAAGCCCCTCTTGAGTTCATGAATTAAATTTGCAATTGGGAGAGGACCTTGTCTTAAGCCCTTATGGACAATAAAGTGGAATGTAGTATGCATTGTGCCCTTTCATACATTTTGCTGCTGCAATTTGTTTTGAATTACTAATGCTTTCCTGAATGATTGTCTTTTATTTATCACATACATGTCTAATAAAAGAAAAGTAATTTATTTTAATAAAGAAGGCAAAATGGTATAGAAAAACACACACACTCACATATACACATACACAGAGAGAAAGACACCTAACCCTACACATGACAATGTTAAGCATGCTTTTGATAAAGGGTGTTTAAAACAATGACTTAAATTTTTGAGGGCAGAGCAGAAGAAAAAGTTTATTTTTTCAGGAGTATCTTAAAGAGTCTTTTAGCATAACTCAGCCATTAATATAATGACTGTCTTACCATTGTTACAGTGGCACAAAAATGTGGGTGATTCAAGAAGACATTATTAGCTGGGTTCATGCCAGGGTGAATATTACCAGGGTAAAGTCATAATAACTATTTTACTTATTCTCAGGAACAGAGCAACTATTATTATTTCCCTAGATGAGTAAATATTTTTAGTTTTGTTCTTGAAAAAAATGAGAGATTTCAAAGTCCAATGATTTGGTTGCCTATACTATGGTCTAGCAAGTAGACTTAAGCATGCTGAACTGTAATATATTATGGATCCTACCTATTAAAATGGATGCAACTGCTATGACCAAAATAACTGTTATTTTTAAGTTGATATAAATTTTCCACATTCCCATTCACTGCAGTAAATCCAAGAGCTGAGTTGACCAAGTTAACATTTAGAATGTCTGAAAACAGAAAGGGAACGTTTCTCAAACAATGTCAGAAGTGCCATGTCGACATGAATGGAGACATGTTAGATGCAGAAGGTGTTTGTCTTCACTGCAAAACTGAGGCAAAAGAGGAGCACCCAAACACTCAGAACATCAGAAGGTAAGGGAGAGTAAAAGAATATGCTTGGATTATCTTACAGAACTCATCACAAAAAGGAAGGTGATAGCTAGTGATCATTAGAAAGCCTTTAAAATAAACAAGCAATAAACAAAAAAAAAATCCATAGACAGGTTGCCTTTCAATAGCTGTTGACAACATTGAGACAAATATTGATATTCAAAGGCATTATCGTATATTCTGGCGTATAAGATGACTTTTGAGAGCGTTGAAACAGGCGCCGAACTCGGGGGTCGTCTTATACGCCGAGTCGTCTTATATGCCGGAAATAAGGTAGTTTCTGGTGTATAAGACGACTTTCTAGGCAGGCGACTCGGCGTCAATCGTCTTATATGCCAGAAATAACATAGTTTCCGGCATATAAGACGACTTTCTAGGCATGTGACTCGGCGTCGATCGTCTTGCGACTCGGCATCGATCATCTTGCGACTCGACGTCAAACTTAGGGGTAGTCTTATACGCCAGGTCGCCCTATATGCTGGAATATACAGTAATTTATAACTCTAAATCAGGTGTGGATAACCGACCAACAGCATGCAGTCCCAAAGTCCTCTTTTTGCTGTTCCTGAAAGGAAGTAAAAAAATCAGGATATTAAAATTTTGTGCCAAGTCCCTAAATAATTATCACAATACTTTCCACTGAGTTTGGGTGGAAATTGAGTAAAACAGATGTTTTTGCAATTTTTTCTTTTTCCTTCAACAACATATGAAGGTGTCATCTAGCAATTTTAATTTCAGTTTCTATTTCTTTATATCCAGTATTTCTCTTAATCCATTCTGCATATTAATTAATAAGTTGCTAGTATACTGTATGGTCATAGCACATTCCTTTCTGAATTTTGATTCACTAAATTGCTCCATATGCCTTTCTAGTTAATTGTTTTTTGGTCATCATTCAGAATCTTTAATAAGCAGATATGATGAATTAGCCTGATGCTCTGCCAAAGGAGATACATTTGGGCCAAAATTCCCATCCCCATTCTTACATTATGTTATTATTCCAATCCTTATTGCCCTTGGTAGATGGGTAAAAATATGGTCCCTGTCAACTAAAAGTTTGCTTTTCTCCTCTAATACAGTATACTCCTATATACTGTCTCTAAATACAAGCAATATATATTTGGGGGGGGGAGGGAGAAGGAATAGTTATTTTCTAGCCATGTTAATTTCTTGAAATCCTTTGGAATGACATAGAATGCTGAATTCAAAGCCTGATCCAGGAGTGGTGTTATTTGAGAACATCAAAAGAATCTTGATAAATGAGGCTAAATGTTGATTTGTGAAGTCAGGGTTCATGATAGAGAGAAAAGTATCTACAATTTCTTTGTTGATTAGCATCTAGTGCAAATGATATGCTCTTTGCAAGAATTTGCGTTAATATTGACAAAACATGATGATGATGAGGAGGAGGAGGAGATGATTTTGGAGTAAACTCATTTCATATTGCAAACTGATTGATATAAGGTGGCTTTCCTGTAAGATTTTCAGGTGATGATTTTCATTTTGTTAAGTTGCTAAATTGAGCCAAAAATAACTGTAAAATTAATCAGATCTTAATTATTTAGTAGTTTATTTTCTTCAGATATCTTCTGAGAATCTTGCTTTGCTTAAGATTTCCAATCTTTGGGTTCAACAATCTTTGGGTTCATTTTCTGGGATCTACTTTCTTTCTACCAATTTTGTTATCATCTCAAACCTCAGGAAAAAGTGTTTAACACATGACACTAGATATGTAGATTTTCTTCCTTCTCTACTTCTGACATTACCAAGTCCTATGCATACATACAGTATTTCTGCTTAAAAACAAAAACATATTATCATTTCATATGGGAATCTATTTTCAAAACAGTTCCACGCAGTTCAACCAGCTCATTTATTCTGTTTTGTCAAAACTGTTTTATGAAACATTGAGATTGAGTCAAGATTCCACATATGTTATAGTATTGGCTGTAGGGAGGAGAAAACAGTAATTCAGGACTGCCATCTGCTGGCCAAACATGCACCGATTCTAACATGTGAAAACTTACAACCACAATTTTAAAATCAAAACCAAGATTTCAAAGTTGAGTCCAACATTTATCCTCTTAAAGAGTTCTTATTTAAGAAGTAACAAACTTTCTATCCACCTCATAAAAATGCTGTTTCCAATAATCAAAAGAAATGCATTAGTCTTTAAGATGCCATTAGTTTATTGTTTTCAAATAACACATTGTCGCATGAACTAGTATTACCACATATTTTAATATTTTTAAAACTATTGATAACTATTTAACTCTTAATATAATTAATATCTAGATAAAGGTACAATAACTTTTAATACTACATTTTATAGTACCTTGAGAAGAAAGTTGGATGAGGCTTATCAATTTCGTGAACCTATTTCTCTTCTTTGCAATTATTGATTTTAAAATGTGAATAATAATAATTTAACAATTCAAAATCTGAATAAACTAAGAGTGCACATGAATATTAAGCTTGCAATTATTCTATTATAGTTTCTGAGACTACAAGGAAACTATGTTAATCTTACCTATTGTGATTTTTTAAAAAAAATAAATGCAATTGTAGGTAATAACAACTTTGAGTCTATGGTTTTGCTTTTATTTGTAGTTTTATCCTACTTGAGTTCAGTGAATCATTTGTATTCCTTATTTTGAGCTCTGTAGCTTCCTTTCAGTCTAAATGCAAATATTTTCCTTCTACCCACGAGCACATTATTTTTGTGAATTGTTGGTATGAATCATTTAATCTCCAAAATATTTCTTTGCATTCCTGTCCTATTCACTTCCTTTTGATGCCTAACTGGTGTTTCTAGGGCAAGAAGTTCTTTATTTCTTTTCCTGAACTATTTTATTGTCTTCTTTGCCAAGAGTGTTCATCTGTATTGTGCTGTCTCACAAGGGAGAAAAAATTGTGAAAGCATTTTAATTCTATAATGTGAGCACCTTATCAGAATTGTTTTAGAGCCTTCTAAGGTGCTCAGCCATATATTTGAGATGTTGCTTTTTATATCACTGGTGGTGGCCAAGCAGAACATGTAGAGTTTCAGGAAATTTCTACCAAAGATCTTGAACTTATATTTAGCCTCAATCATAAATACCTCATACTTGCCACAGTTGCCTAACTAGTATAGCTGGGCAAAACCAGGGTATTAATTACTGTAAGCTGCTTTTCAGATGTTTATGGATGTATTTTTCTTCTGTGTATATATTAAAAATGATATTTGTTTGGATCTGAATGGTGTTGTTTTCTGCTTGGTTCAGCATTGAAGAGGCAGCAGTAGTAAACAGGTACTTCTTTACTGAAGGTCAAAACAGAAACTAACAAGCATGGCTCCGCTCCTATTTATACATTCAGCTTTGGGCAGCGTCAGCCAATGAATGCACCGTATTCTCCCACTCAAATGCATACTAATCAACCTTGCAGACAGCAAGTCTGGCTAGCAGGCCACATGGTCTGCTAACGGTCCTTGCACAGATCTCTGCCACTGTTCCATAAATTTAATACAATACATTACACCGCTCCCCCTAGATCTTTGACACTTACAAAGCATTGTTAAGTACATAGGTATTCAAAAGTTCAAAAACCTACATAAGCATTTTAAGTTTGCAATGACAAAAACCTCACGTAGTCCTTCAAAACTTCGGAGGGCCTTTCGCCCGCTTTGAGCGTCTTGGAGCTGCTGCTAGCTTCCGATCTGCAAGCTTGCCTGCCAGGCTCGGCAGACCGGGGCTGTGTGACCCGTCCGATACGGGTATAGCCGGTTCATGAAGGCTGGCCTGTTCTGGTAGGCCCAAGCCTTTGTCCATTTCCCTATGGCTGGCCTGTTTTGGTAGGCCCGAGTCAGAGTTCTGCGGTGGAGAAGAATCCACCAGATAGGCGTGAAAAGCCGATTGAGAGCAATGTCCCATGGATGCAGTGCCTGAGTTAGGAGCAGCCTCGTTGGCAAAAACCCCATTCGGCGATCGCAATGTATTTATAGACAATCTATTGAGATGATTCAAAAATGACTGTAATTAAACTGGACGCAACTTCAAAAAAGATGAAGATGGATGTTCAACCACGAGCTATTGAGAATCTCACTACAGCTTTTTCACTAGCCTATTAAAATGGACAATGGGAGATTCTCCCCTGATTTATGCGTTACGGCAAGTAATGGAGGGAGTTTTATTTGTGGACTTAGAGGCCTTACTATGGAAACCCATTTGGAACAGAAAGAAAGCTAGAATAAGACATAAATATGGAATTTAAGATTACATTTATGGGTTGCAATGGCTCTATAGAGATGTGGATTGATTTGGATTTGGATTTTTAAAAGGTGTTTTTAGGATAAGATTTAGAATTTAATATTGAAATATAGTAAGAATATATTTTTGGGAATAATAGATTTTTTTTTCTTTTTCTTGGTTTCTTTTTGTTTCTTTCTATTATTTTTTTCTATTTTTCCTATGCTTTTTTATTATTAGATATGATAGCTAATTTGTGGAGCTATAATGATAAAAAAGATTGTAATGATGGAAGAGATGAAATTAATAAATGAAGAACTACTGAATAAGAAATAGAATATAGTTGAGAAATGTAAGAATGTAATTATGGAAATAATATGCTTAAATAAGAGAAATTATGGACACCCGAATTGTAAATAATATTTTTGTTTAAGGCTAAGTTAGATATGGCATTTGGAAATTAATAAACCTAAAAACAGGGTTTGATTTACATCGATGAAATGTTGCTGATAACTTCTATTGATTAACTGAATTCTGATTTAGGAAGGTATTAATGAATTAATTTTATTTAGAAATGTATTAGTTTGACTATATTATTCTAATTGTTAGAGAGGGAAATTTTAAGGAGCATTATTTGAGCTATATATATAAGATGTTATTGTACCTAACTGATTACCCTATCTCCACGTTGTTTCTCAAGCGTTCTGGTGTAAAAATGGAAAAATCAATAAAATTGTTTGGAAAAAAAAAAGAAGAGACTGCACTGCCATCTGTCAGAAATGGTGTAGGGTCTCCTGCTTGGGCGGGGGGGAGGGTTGTATTAGACGACCTAAAAGATCCCTTCCAATTCTTTTTATTCTAATTCTAAGGGAAAAGATAGGAAGTAGGATTTAATGCTGACATTCTATCCTTTTTCCTCCCAGCAATTTTTTTTTGTTAGATTTACTGTATATTCCATTTTTTATATCAGTCATATCTGGTGACTATCTAGTTTCATGTGATTAATATATTTTAATAAGAATGTATACTCATTAATATATCTTATTACTGTACTACACGTATCTGCTACCTAGGGAGTCTGCCACATACAATGTTGGTGAGATGATGGAGACTGAGCCTTCATATGCTGACTTCATTAGCTGTGATCGGACTGGTCGGAGAAATGCAGTTCATGACCTTCAGGGAGATGCAGCTGCCATTAAATTGGAGAAACTAGCAAATACCATGGATATTTCTGTTGCAGATGAAGGTGAACTTCTTTGTTCATTCAGAGCTTTTCAAGGAGCAGTATCATTCAGGAAGCTCAGATGTAAATGTTATAATTCATATTGTGCTTGTTTGAATGTTTACGCAATTTGTATATTATGCAATATCGTATTTGCTGGCATGTCATTATCATGATTATCAGGTTTCTGAGCCAATCATTCAAATTCCAAGGAACATGCCACATCTTCCTATCTTTATATAAAGAGCCTATTATATCTTTTGTCATCAGTTCAGTGAAAGGTTCTGTTCCTCTGTGGTTTCTTTTGTCAGTATCCCTTCTTTTGAGTAATATTACTCTATTCTTCCTTGTGATAATAATATATAGGTTTTTATCTTGTTAGATTTTTTTTCTGTGCCCAATATTTAAATCTTTTAAAACTAAGCAGTCTAATTCACATATCTTGTACTGGACTTCTCCCATTCCTATAAACTCATGTATAACAATTTGCACCAAGGAGGCAATTCAGTATCCAATCTCCACATGAGAATTTCTAAATAAGAATTCTCTCTGTAAAAGTCCTATATTGAATTAGCCAGTTTGGAATAAAATACTTCTCCCAATGCAAATAATTGTAGGCAAATAACATTTATGTTCAATTTTTTTTACTGGATGCATTTATTAGATCAAAAAAAACTTCCATTTTTTTTTTTTTTTTTTTTGGGCAGGAAATCAAGGAAAGGAAGTTGCTTGTGAAAAGGACCCTGGACTGATTCCTGAAAGGAAGAATGATAGCTCAAATTTCTGATTTAGGATGCAGAAGGTGGAAGCCTGGATAACAATACTTGATAGTACTGTATATGCTAAGAAATCAAACTGCAACGGAAAGATCTTTACTTAGAGATCTCTTCAGAAGCCATCTGGATGTCATAGTCACTTTGTGTGGCAAGTAACTGGTGCCTCCAGTTCTTTCTGTAATGCTACAAAATAAGATGTGTTCTGGTAACCTGAGCCACTTAGAGAGCCTTAAACGGCTATTTTCTGTACAAATAAACAACATTTCCATAATATGTACTTCAGATTTTATTGTAAAAGGTGCATTTTGTTCATTTAGTAAATTTAAACTATTTATTTCTATCTCTTGTAGATTTTTAGATGGTTTATTGTGTCCTCCACAATAAATATATCAAATCCCAGACCCAGTTGATCTTTTAAGCTGTGAACATGGGAATTATAGGATATAATATACCAGACATTTCACCAGTATGAACCTCATTAAATAATTGAGCTTAATGCTGGCAATAGTGCTCTTGTATTGCTCTAGTTCAATTCACCATATTCTGCTTTACACAATAATAGAGCAAAAGCTTATCAGATTTACAAATAATACAAATTTGGCGAGAAAGCTAATGCCCTAGAAGTCAGAAATAAAATTCAAGGTAAACTCGTCAGGGTAGAGAAATGGACTGGAAATAATAGAATTTATTGAGACAAAAGCAAAATTCTTATTTAGAGAAAAAGTAATCAAGTGCAGAGATTCAGGTGCACAACACTTGTCTGGGTAATATTACATAAGAAAACCTTAGATTACTATCTGAATACAAATAGTATGAGCCAGCAGTCCGATATAGCTGCAAAAAAAGCAATTGTTTTAGATTATATCAACAGAATCAAAATTTTTCATTGAAGAGAGTGCTACCTACCTGCTTCCAAATACTTTTTTGTAAAGTTAGGAAAGTTGTAGGAAAACAGCCAAGTTCGACTGTGGTAGCAAAAAATCAGGAGTCTGGTAGTATCTTTTCCAACTTACAATTTTTATTATGCACTCTATGCATTTAATAAAATGAGCCATAGCTTATAAAAGCTTAAGCCTTGTTAGAAAAAATGCTGTACTGTATATTATTATGTCACTGAGAGCAATACGAAAAATTTAGGCCTCTTCTGGCTTAATAGAAGTTTTTTTTTTTGCTTCTTGTTTTACTAAAAGCAATGAAACATCTATATATTTTCTAGTGAAAGTTGAAACAAAGACCCACACTCTCCTTTTCATTTATTTTTTTTTAAGTTTAATTATTTTATTTGTAGAATCAAAGCTGATTTTGGTTTGAATGTTTTTTTTTCTGATATGGCAGATAAAAATGAAATATACCTTTAAGTGAAAATGGACTTTATTTCATTAAATGAAGAGTTATGTTCTGCTCTTTCCTCCAAATAATTCTGAAGATATATTGTGTTACAAAGAAAGAACATGGATCACAACATTAAAACCATTTATAAGCTGTATAATGTTTTATTGGTACTACAAAAATATTAAAACAATTGTTTTATATAATCTTGAATATAGACGATATGCCCACTGACATTAAGAACATTTTACTTAACATTCATATAAACCAGTATTTACTGGCTTGCCGCTTTCTGAAATAAGTAGTATGCATAAGTAAGTCTATACCTCGCACACATATGACACTAATGTAAAAACTATTCCTCAGAGACAAACTTTTGATGTTTAAAATTTCATTATTAGTAGTTACCAATAACATGGTATCACAAACATGTATGAGTTCTTCAGCATTGATTACAAACTTAAAAAAATTACTAAATCAAATCAAATCACAATCATTTCTATAGACAAAATAAGTACTAACAATGTCAGTTTGTGTCTGGAGACAAGTTCTAACAAATTACAAAAAACACTACATAACTAATGAAAGATACAGAGCAAATTATGAGAAATACAAGAAGGACTTGGATTTTATATTTTAACCATCCGATCAGTCTTGTTGAGTTATATAAAAATATTACAAATTAAATGTTTTAAGTTCTGGCAGCAATGTTAGACTTCTACTTTTATTTTTATTTTTCAAAACTTGGCTTAATTTTTCCAAGCAACCTCTATTATTCACTTATTCAGCACACTTTCATAATGTCCTAAGCATAAGTCCTCAGATCTAGAAATGTGAAACCCAGAAAGTAAGTAAAGTCATGTTTTGTTGATTGAGGAGGAAAAATTAAGCAAATTAATCTTAAGTGGCTAGATTTGTCTCTCTGAACTGAAATATGCTAAATGTGCAGCTGCTCCTGAAATAGCAGTTGAGTGTTTACTGCCACTCTCTCTTTATTATCAAGAATTACTATGCTTTGATGTTGCAATGGTTACTCACTTGCAACATTCATGTTGTTGCTACTTACAAGGAATAGAGAAACAAGTAACAGTGTGATTTGCACATAAGACTTACGAGATCTAAGCCCTTAGAAGTTGTATTTTGGGTTTTCTACAATAAAAAATGTAAATCAATCTAAGAGACAAATTTTATAATATACCAGCTTCAACCTTAAATGTGCAAGATTTTGACACTGTAATATAAAAACATGGATCTAAGTTCCTGAGTAGATAAATGGGGACTTCAAAGATAGCTTATTTTTTAAAAAAATAATTAAACATGCAAAATAAAAAAGTTACAATTACTAAAGGCATCTATCATATTTATTTGGGAATGAGAATTCTTGGCTTTATATTGCTATGATTTAGACTTGCATTTGGTACTGTATTTTCCTGTTCAAACTACGTATTTGGTTACAGCTTTCCTTAGATTCCAGTCAAAGTGAAGCACTTACACTTAAACCATTTTGTTTTTTCAATTTCCTTAGGGAACAAATTCCAGCAAAATAGCCAGTTTGGTACTAGCTATTTAGTCTACTTTTTTGGATGTTATTCCAGTTAAAACAAGGTAACCATCAGATAATGTTACCTTTCTGATAATCTCAACAATCAAAACAAAACAAAACAAAGTGTCAGTATGCTTTAGTTAAATCACATAATTCCCAATTAAACTAAACAGTATAGTACAGATAAGAAACAAGGCAAATGGCTCAGTAAATAGGTGGGAATAAAACTTTAAATCTGCATTTCTATAAAATCCTTATATGAATAGAAATTCTATAACATTCTATTTTTAAAAATACTGTTTTTCCCATGGCATATCTCCAGCATAAGACATTTTAAGCAAGGCTGGTTTTTGAAGAGCAAATGTTGAATCAGCATTACAAGAATTTCTCTCATACAACTTTCTCTGGATCAAATATTCTATTTTGTTGATATCACTGAAATGAATGAAATGGGGAAAAACATGAACTACTATTTAATATAAGTAAAATAAAGTACAGAAATAAAATCAGTCTATAATCAAATGATAAGGTAACTTGTTTGTTTTTCTAAATATAATTTTCTAAAAAAAAATTCAATGGTAAAAATACTTACGATCTTTCTTCCTTTTTGATAATATAGGAGTGCACAGAAGACATCACTTGTAGATATATTAGTGAGGCAGATTATGTTTTTAAAAATGATTGTAAAAATGTCTGAGATAGGCTTTGTCTGCTGTTGCATATAAACAGTTCATTTGACCTACTGGAAAGTTTTGAAATAATGGCCTGCAGACTTGGTTTACCTGAGATGGAACTTAAATGAATGTAATTGCAATAAATGTATTCCTATTTCCAATCTCTAGATATCTGAGCACCTTATATTCCATCTTTAAAAAATTAAAAGTAGCTACCCTCATAAGAATACTGTTTTGTACATGCCCTGTTCTGTGGTTATTAAGAGTAAACAAGGTAGTAATACTAAGTTTGCACATTGTCTTCCAAGAAGCAAAATAAGCATAACGTTGGTCAAGAAAAAAGCTGATGCTCGGTACAGAAGAGTTCAGAATTCTTTGCTTTTTACCATCCCATAGGCTTCATATAGCTTGTACAGAAGCTCCTTTTTATCTTGCTCTTTCAAAAAGCTGGACTTTGCTGCATTTATATTCTGAAAAAAGAAGAAGAAACTTGAAGGCATGCGTGATCATATTCCACTAATGTGGGCTGTACCATTTTAATTAAATGGTTGACCATGTTGCTTTTATCTTTGAAAATGAAAAGAATGTGTTTTTACAAAAGTCTAAAATGGAGTTAACAAACATAAGGATGCCACAGATGGGTTTTTAGGCAAGCACTTTTCCAATTTAAAGCTCACTCGAGATTGCTCAAATACTGAGATAAATTTATATATATTAGGCCACATGCTACAGATTTGACTGCTTTTATATTGGGGCAAAGCAAATAAACAACCCAGTACAAATTTATAGACTGTTTATGTTCTTCAGAATCCAACATGTTACTGCTATTACTGCTATCAAAGGTCATTTAAGCAATTAGAAGATTCACTGGCAGTAGCCCAAAACAATAGAAAGCTTGAAAGTCCTATTACTCAGCAAAATGCTCTAAGGCTGCAGTAATGCAAACTCAATAACAGTGAGGTCATGGGATATTAAACTACATATTTTCCAATCATATGTTGGTTGAGCTGTGGTGGTGCAATGGTTAGAATGCAATACTGAGTGCTAATTCTGCTGACTGCCAACAGTCGATCCTGACCAGCTCAAGGGTGACTCAGCCTTTCATCCTTCCGAGCTTGGTAAAATGAGGACCCAGATTGTTGTGGGCAATATGCTGACTCTGTAAACTGCTTAGAGAGGGCTGTAAAGCACTGTGAAGTGGTATATAAGTCTAAGTACTATTGCCATTGCTATGTCTAATAATAGCGAAAAATCACAAGGAAAGGGAAATGAGAGGGACAAAATGTCTGTGAATGTGCACAGATTTGTGAGAAATAAGATATGATTGCTAGGATAGAACAAAAATCTGAGGCTTATCAATGAAAATATTTTAAGGAAGCAAAAAAAAAAAAATCAATCCACACATCAAGTAAAAAGACATGGAAAATGATCAAAATAAAGTATAATATGTACTGAAATTAACAAGAAACAGTAGCTTATGAATGACCCCACATAATTTTATTAGCATTATTTTTAATTAATTCCAATTTCTTAAGTATTTCAGGTTAGGAATGCAGAGTGCAGAGAAGAGTAACAATGATAATCAGGGGACTGGAGGCTAAAATATATAAAGAATAGTTGCTGGAATTGGGTATATTTAGTTTAATGAAAAGAAGGACTAGGGGTGACATAATAGCAGTGTTCCAATATCTCAGGGGTTGCCACAAAGAAGAGGGAGTCAAGCTATTCTCCAAAGCACCTGAAGACAGGACAAGAAGCAATCGACAGAAAGTAATCAAGGAGAGAAGCAATGTAGAACTAAGAATAAATTTCCTGACAGAACAATTAATCAGTGGAACAACTTGCTTCCAGAAGCTGTGAATGCTCCAACACTGGAAGTTTTTAAGAAGAGATTGGACAACCATTTGTCTGAAATTAGAATAGAATAGAATAGAATAGAATAGAATAGAATAGAATAGAATAGAATAGAATAGAATAGAATAGGAATAGGAATAGGAATAGGAATAGGAATAGACCTTGGAGATCTTCTAGTCCAACCCCCTGCTCAAGCAGGAAACCCTATACATTCTATTCTATTCATAAATATATCCCAGACAGATGTAAGGGTTTTATTTTAATCTAAATTTTCAGAGTTTGTAAAAACATGCAGGTTCATATGGCATACTAAGACACATCTTGCCAAAATGGGCATATAATTACATAAGAAGCCATTACCTGAAGGATGCATTTAAATGGTAATAAGAATATTAGCATTTTTCTACAAATGGAGTATGGTAAGATGTTCCTTCTGTTCTCCACAGTAAGGTCTTGATGTGATCACCATGTTTGAAGCCTATATTTCCATTTCTAAAAACCTTGAAAAGATTAACCATGTCTACGCCTGTAATTTCAATTTATTTGGAAGATTTTACTTTAACACAAATTGATCAAAACAAGCTGTACATTACAAGGGCAAAATATTGCCAATATGAAAAGCAGACCAACTTACCAATTTCTTGAATTCCCCTTCTGTAAATTTCATGTGATCCCGAGCTATTCTGTAGTCTGTGTCAATCGTAGATCTGAAAATGAGTGGATCATCTGAATTCAAGGAATAATTTGCACCATCCTTCATAAATCTGGAAAGACAAAAATGGAAGAGTTAAATGATTTATTATCCATGGGCAGAAATATAGAATAGCCAGCTTTCCTACTGCATTTTGTTACACATTTACTAAAATCTAAAATGGTGCTGCTAGCTTTTCAAAATATTTTATAACAGAGTTTAGTGCAAATTCAAAAGTAATCCAAAGGAACCATAAGTGAGCTGAAGTATGATTTATTTGAAATAGCAACAAAACTTACCTTATTACGGGATGTTCTTCAAAGCTGGTTTTACATGCTCCAGTGAGATGACTGGACCATGGACAGAGCTATATATTAAAGTACAGAGAAAATAAAGATGCTCAATATAGATTTCATTTAAAGTGTTTATGTGAATAAATATTTATTAAAATAATAAATTGAAAATGCTACTTCAGAAAGAATGTTTTCTATAAAAAGCTCATAACAGCTGAGAGTAATTCAGACCAAATAATCTATTTTTCTTGTTCATCCTGAAATATTTCTTATAAAATTATGTGAACTTCATGTAAAATGTACATATGAACTGAAAAATGCACACAATGCATTTGTTATTATTAATCTGTACCTCTACAGTCAATTTCTACAGTTTCTTCATAGAAAGATTATGGAGTAAACTACAGCTATCAAATTAAGAATGAATTGTTGTCAGTTGAAAAAGAATAATTAAATACCAGTTAAAGAATAGTTAATTCAAAGATCTGAGATCATTCAGATACAGAGCAAGAACCAAATCATGCTTGTCAAAAGAATTCATTTACACTTTTTATTTACAGTAAAATGCAATAGTATGGATGTGACAGCCTTCTTATCATTCTACGGTAGTTATATATGATAGCTCTAACCATCATATATGGATTTGTCTCTTGGAATCAAACTTTAAACATTGATATACTTCAGTGATATTCCCAAAAGCAAAACAATAAGACATGAAATGTTTAGAGGTTTTCTTTTTTTTTTAAAAAAAATGCTTCATTAAGCAATCAAGTTTACACATAGGACAATATATTTATAACCTGCACTGTGACAAATAAGGATCAGGCTTGCATTATGTATATCTTGTAATGTACAGTTGCATCCAAAGGTTTACACATGCCTGTCAAGTTGTACACTTCAATGAATCCCTAAATGAACAGAAACTGACATACCCTTTACATTAATACTGTATACAATGGGACTTTGGTATTCAACTGCTTTGAAACTCATCAAATTTGGTTCTCAGTGCATTTTGATGTGAAAATGTTGTCCCGATACTCCTAGTTTCTTTGGTACTTGACGCACAAGTTAGAATTGGTCGGTGTCAGCTACCCTATGACTCACTACATTATTGTTTATGAGAAAAAATTGTTTGGTATTCATTATTTTGGTATTCATTGCACTTCCCAGAATCAATTAACAATGAGTACAGAGGTACCACTGTGCAATTTTTTTGTTGTAGCTTACTGCAGAGCTAACAAATCAATTGCCTTTGGGCGTCTTAAAAATATTATAGTTAAAAAGAAAAAAAGTGTATCCACCTGGAACAATGTCCAAATTTGTCCACTTGCCATTTTCACTATTTCCTTATTTTTTCTTATTTCTTATTTGTCCACAAATAAAGAGTGGATTGTGAAATTAATGGAACGGGCAAAGATGACAGAACTGACTACTTTGATGAAAGATAAAAAAAATTATTTAGCTTTGTTTCTACCTAGAGACCATTTTTGAATTTTTTTGCTTTAGAAAGATAAAAATGAAGTTTTAGTTTTAGGATTTGATAATTGGATTTGTTATGATTATAGAAATATTGATAATTATAATTATTAGATATATAATCTCAAGTCTAGAACAAACCTGGCTGCAGCCATCTTGCTCTTTCTAGGTTGCCACAAGAATGGGAGGGGGTGCTGAGGATTTCTGCTAGTCTAAACATTTTACTGTTCCATGGGAACCAAGGTTCAGTTAGGTTGGGGCATGAGCATTTGATTAGAAAGCCTGCCAAACTATTCTATTGGGGAACGTAGCTGATACATAGCATTGGGGTGGGAAGTTTAACTTTGTAATAGTGTTTCTCTTTGGAGGAGATTTCAGACTTGGTTTCACTTTTGGCGGTGGCTATACTAAGTAACCAATAAGCATGTTTTTGATGAAATCTCTAGCCTCAGAGTTCTGATTTTTTTGGTCTCATCTATCATAACTTGACATATAGATTGTATATTTTTAAGGTTTATGCTTAAATTTAGAATAAGAATTTATTTTGTTCTGCAGTTTTGGGGGGAGTTGGATAATTTAGTTTCTATACTGTTTATATGATGTTTTTGTTATAATTTAGAGTTAAGAGGTTATTCTATTATATATTTGTACTGAAGAAAGTTGGAAATCATTTTTTTCTGTTTTTTCTTTTGTCACTTTTTAATTTCTTCCCCTTTAATCCCTTCCCCTTTATTTTAATGTTTTCTTTTTTAATTTGTACTTTATCTTTTTTGGAAACTTAATAAAGTTGCTGTAAAAAACATTACAGGCTTGGAGGGTTTGTCTTTTAGGAAGACTGATGATATGCATGCTCTACTGCAAAATAAAATTCATACTAATTCAGAGTAAAACCACAAGATTTTATTTCAAAAGTTCAAAAGCTTCAGCATTTCTAAAAAAAAAAGCAGAAAAAAAGCACAGAAAAGCAGATTGATTAGTGTTCTGACTCAGTATAAACTATTTATACTTTTGTTTGTCCTTAAATGTTGTTAAGGAAGTACGTACAGATATTTGCAGGAGATATTCTATTACCTCAAAATGTATATTTTGTTTCAACAACTGTTTGTAAAGTTGTTCATCTTCAAAGATGTGGTAGCCATGGCCAATTCGTTCTGTCTTAAGAATGTTGACTGCCTATAGTGATATAACAGGGAAAAATATGAAGAAATGACTATTTGCAGATTAGGTCACTTACATCATTGACACATCAATTCTAAAACAACAAAGTTAGGTGGTATTTAATGAATATCTAGCACAAAAAGATTAAATAAAGTACAGTGTAAATACATTTATAGCAATTCAAGAGTACAGTTTAGGAATGAGGATGCCTTAGATTTACATACCACCTGTACTTCTTTCCCATACTCATTTTTTTCAGACCAAACTGAGTTTCTCTTATATGGGAATTCTCAAATGATAGAGTTTATACTTCAGACTATAACCTCAAACCATTTTTGCATAAACCACTTAAGAGATACACAGCAAAGCTTAAGTAGTTTAAAACTAAGAGAAATCATTAACTGATTTCAAGAAAAGGACCAATATTGTAAGTAATGAGATCTCCCTTTATCTGTACTAGTAGGACTTGGGCATTTATAGTCTGCTTTGCCTGTGTAGCTGGATTTTTCTAATTCATATTTAGACAGAAAAGAATTGAGCTACAGTGTTCTGTAAGTATACACCTCTGTATAACAGAAAATGCTGGCAATATCTTACATTGTTTGCAGTTTGATCCTAGAAAATCAGATTGATTTTTTTTTAAATATTTTTTTTAACAGAAAGTAGAATAATGGATGGAAATGGAAGGAGATGAGAATGAAGACGTATACTTAATTAATGATTAAGAAACAGTTTGGGGCAAAGATTGAATTTGTCGGAAGACAAGATGTTTTGTAAAACTATCCTAATTACTGTTGCTATAAAAATCACCAGAGGGGTACTTAAATTACCTCTTCTTTCCTTTTACCTCTTTACCTAAAAAAAAAATTGAAAACAGTCCTCACAGGATTTTATAATTTTCTTCATTAGTTCTACCTGGCAGCTTTCCAGATGACACCCAGGTTCTATGATACAATTTCCTACCTCTTTGATGACTTCCGATGTTCCAACCTCTCCGGCATGAACAGTCCGATGAATACCACATCTTTCAGCTTCCTGATCAACAGGAAATAGAAACCATAATTTGCAGCTGTTAAAGAAGACAACACATTTTTGTGGAAGGTATCTGCTATTTCATATTCTGTTGGTGATAAACATGGAATTGCCAAACAAATAAATCCTATCATTAAAATGAATGCAAAGCTCAGAATGTTGGTAGTTTTAGCTGCGTTTCACACACAAAGGCACATTTCTCTCCCTCCCTCCCTCCCTCCCTCCCTCTCTCTCTCTCTGTGTGTGTGTGTATGTGTGCGTATGTATGTATGTATGTATGTATGTATGTATGTATGTATGTATACACATATATATGGTGTACCAAAAACCAGGCTCCAGAGGCCACATTGCACTTAGGAATGTTTAAAGATCATGCATCGAACAAGTCAGGAAGTATTTAAAAGAACACAGCAATGAATTCAAATATTTAATGTAATTTCTATAATGAACTTTCTAAGGGGTCAGATTTTTGGTGTGTGTGTGTGTGTGTGTGTATTATAGTAACACATTTTATGCATGAATTTTAAAGCCAATTATATTTTTATATATACATATACTGAAGAACATATACCAAGAATAAGATTACTAACAAAAGGCCATGCAAGTACATATTCTATAAAGAAATATCATTTTTCAAACATTATCAATTGCTTAATAAGAAGATACATAAAGAAGTTATACTACCGTAGTATTAATACACAGAAACCTAAGTAACTGTAATTGAATTACTATTACTATTTTCCAATCATCTGGTACAATATTTCTGAGCTTCTATGTCGTCAATAAGCTAGAAAGATTATTATGAACGATGTCAGTTAATGAAAATATACAGAAGATTGATGTATTATTGCATCCTTCAAGATACTGTTAAAAATATATTAAGGCAAAATATACACCTCCCATTTTTTCACAAATTGTAATGAGCTTACTGAATATTGGCACTTGATTGAGAACTATGGTTAATTCAAACTAAACAGTTTAATGAAAAATGAGGAAAAATATTTAATTCAATTAGATATAAAAGCAAGATTTTTGATATAAATCAAAACTTGTTTCTATATCTATTTGTGTGGTCTTGAGTGCTCACTAATGCAATTTAAAGTTCTTCATAAACATAGGTAATGTTCTATTAGAGACATATAAACTATGGGATAGTCACTGGTTTGTCTTTTCCCTGTTCCCCAAACCGAAGAGTAGTAAGGGAAGAGAAAGTAAGCTGGACCTTTTCTTAGCTCAGCTGGAAAACTAACAGTTTGAATTGTTTTGAAGGCAAGTGGAATAAGAAAACTTGTAACTTTGATTCCATTACAGTTCTATTTCCCTCCTCTATAAATCAAAGCCCATTATGTTTCATAAATGTCACATCTTTTTAGATTGTAAATACAAGGAAATGGATTCTAAGTGACCTTGGAAGCCTTTCCTGATCAAAAACTAAAAGGATGAAATAGAAATGGTTCAAATAATGAACCATTTGAAATCACAAGAGGGCTTGTGTAGAACAGTTTCTACAGAGGCTTTTCTGAAATGAAGCAGATAGCATTTCCTCAAAGTACTATCCCAACTTCAGGGTAAAAAACAGTCATATGTTATTTGTTTCAGTCCCACTGTTAATTTTGAATGCTCACTAAATGAACTGTTTTAAGTCGAGGACTATTTTCCTCACAACAACAACCTTATGAGGTGGATTGGGCTGAGAGTTACTGACCCAGAGTCACCTGGCTGGCTTCCATAGCTAAAGTGGGGCTTGAACTCACAGTCTCCTGCTTCTAAATTTGATAATTCATGGCAGAAAATATCAGCACATTAGAATGAAAAAGATTTATATTTTTAGTACTTTTGGAAACTAATAAATAAAAAATAACATGTAATTCAACTTTTCTCTAGAGGAAATAAACACAGGATACTACATGCCATGAAGGGCAAATTAAAATAGTTTGTGTCAAGGAATGTTTCTGAAAGAATAGCCATCTCATCCTGAATAATCTTTACTTAGAAGAGACTGGCTAATGATAAGTAGGTTACTTTCACATGTGGGAAAGTAATTTTGAATAAGAAACCTCTACTCCTCCCAGTTCAAAAGATTAGGTTTGTTCCAGGTTCTTAGTGATGCTATATGTACTATGGCTATGCAAACTTGGAAAAGGAAGAGAAACCCACTCTTTTAAGATAATGTGACAAAAAAAAAAAAAAACAGTAGAGAATTTTTTCAGGCTCAGCCAAAATCTGAAAAAGTAAGGCTGTTTCAAGGAACAAAAGGAAGAAAAGGCATAAGGATTTCTTCCGATCATTTTTAAACAAACACAACCCTAAAACATTTCAGCAATAGGCATAAATAGAAGGGAAGTCTAAAACAGAGGAGCAACCATATAAATCTTTTCCTCAGAGTTTTAACCAGACATGTTTCAATTTGAGACTGAAACGTTACTTGTAACTGAAATCTGGATATTGTATTCTAGTATTATACATGGGAAGTAGAAATTTTGATCTGAACATGATTTGGGAATTTAAATGTGAATGAAAAATAAAAGTATGATTGGTCCTGAACCCTTTCTGGGAATCTTAGGCTGATTATCTCTATAAAACTGAACATACTTCATAGGCTTTTCGGTGGTCTGAACAGGCCGCAATAACTGATTCATCTCCAGCTAAGTCTATAGCAACCACTGTATCGTTCCAATACTTCTTACACAGTTCCAGTACTTCTGGCGACCAGCCTGGAAAGAAAAACCTAAATAAGGTCTTTTTTTTTTTTTTTTTTTTACTTTTGGCAGAATCCAAGGTCTTGCTTAAATAAGACTTGTAATCATTAATCAAACACAGTTATACATAAATGACACTTTTATATTTTGTTGACTTTTCCTTTGACAATTTCTGTGGAGATCAAACAGATGTTGTAAATAGCAGAATAGCCACAAAGAATTACAATGTTTAAAATATATTTGTTTATTTCTGGTTAGTTTTTGTCATTTCAGTATGACTGAAACTTCTAGAATTTATGCTACAGTATAAACGTATTACATTTCACTACTTCCTAGAATTTCTAACAAGATAATTATTCAAGGAAACTGCACAATCAAAATCAAGGAGACGGGGATTCAGAATTGTGGCACACTTTTTTGCATGCTGTGCAGATTTGGTGCATTAAAGATAGAGTCAACTATAGTCTATATATCCAAACTTATGCACTGTTGTCAAAGTTAACTTTTCCTCCACTGAATTTATTAAGGTATGAAGAAGTTTTATATATAATTTTAAAGTAACAAATATTTAAAGATCTTCAATTAAAAATTATTTCACCAACACTTTAAAACAGAAGCTAACAAAATAATATAATAGTTAATTATAAAAGGAAAACTATACAGTATTACAGAGAGTAATGCGGCCAATATAAACTACAGACCGTTTATAAATGATTATAAGATTAACTGATAGTGGCTTAATGTACAAAATCAAATCTGTATTCATCGGAGCACATTACTACTAATAATTTTCTGAGTTGGAGGAAATATTCTCTTGAGAAAACATTTCTGGGAATTTTATTACATACTGTTACATAAAAATGCAACTATTTTTGCCCAATTGCAGTTCTGAATAACTAGAGCATACTGTATGTAGGAGTTATAGCAACAGTCAAATAAGAAAATAATTTGGAGATTCCCTTGACTCTGAATAATAAGATTTAGTTCATTAAAATTATTCACTCCAATCAATCACTGAAACTTCCTTCTTATAAGCAAGAAAAATAGGAATTTCTTTCTTCAATTAAATAGATGGTGTTAATCCTGTTCTGGAATTTCTCATTACATTCTATGTGATATCTCTACATGCATAGAAATATAGCACACAAAATATCTAGAAATAAAGCTGTATCTAAAAGGCATTTTCAGATTGACAACCAAATGCTGAAAAGGTTGGTATACCAGTACTAGCATCCAGCAGGATTATTATTGCAATCATTAGACATATTGAATTGAGTTATAGGGGCACAACTAATTTATCAATAAGAACTTTTAAGGAGCAATGTCAAGTTCCTTAAAAAATAACCCAGTGCTACATAGAAGCACTAAGTAAACTGGCTATATTCCAACACATGCCTTTTGTTCAGACAAGGGCCCCAAATGCATGTGTTTCAACAAATGTGTTTTAAGGAGATATGTGGGGGGAAAGGCAAGGTCACGGGCAGTGCTGTGGAAGAAAAGAAAAGAAGATCAGGGAACAGTCAATTGACCAGCTGGGTATATTACAGTAGCCACATACCTTTGGCCTTTTTAATATATCTTACATCCCAAAGATTTAAGATGTATTGTCACATATGCATTCTCTTTGGTATGAGTATCCTAGAATGAACACATTTAGGGAATTCCTAGAAAATGATATAATATTTGACAGAAAAAAGAATCCTGATGATTTCTACATAGCTGGTTATATAGACTACCATCCCTTAGTCACTGTGCCTAAGATCTAAATTCGGTAGATGGGTAGGTTAGCTAGTTGGATATGCTGTGCTTGGATTAAGGGTGGAGATGATAAGCAAGTTATTTATCATTGGCTAAATTTGTCTAGCATAGCACTTTGGGAAAAAGTGATTGGTGGATGTCTCAGTGCCCAGGAATGTGGAGGTGATAGGAGCACAAGAGCCTTGCTCTATTCATCCCACAAGATCCCAGCTGAAACCTGGAGCAACTAAGGTGCTTATTTCACTTCAGAGTCATTTGTTTTATTTACAAACATGCATACCTTTTAATAACAACATGCATACCTTTTAATGTGGAAACACCCATGAGCAGCTTCCAAATTTATTTATTTATTAAATTTAAATGCTGCCCATCTCATTATCAAGCAATTGTAAGGAATCCATAAAAAATCCTGAAACTTAAGTAGTTTGAGTTTGAAACCACATGTTGCACTTATCTTTTCTGAATGAGCAGAACTCACAGACAACAACTAGAGAATAATTACAGTCTTCCTAAACATTAATCACACCTTTTATGCTGATATGATTAGCTATTTTTTTCAATATTGAATTATGAAATCTTGCTTTAATCTCAGCTAAGGATAAATAATATTCTTTGATAAGATACTGTAAATTTGAACAATATGAGGAGGCAGGAAGATAAATAAAACAGAGAGCAGAACTAGCAGTGAACTATGTAATGCATTACTTGGTTTGTTGCGCATGCAGCATAGAATAGACTTGACTTTGATGTTGAAATCCTTTTCTCCATCTTTTAATCCTTGATTAACAAAGCTAACTACTTCATCTGGAGTAAGGTCTCCCCTATGTAAAACAAATAATCAGTATATTATATATTATTATGAAACTGTTTATTAACATTAATATACAATAGATATTAATAAACATATTATTACTGTTTATTGGATTGGTTTGTTAATTTAATTATTAGATTATTAGAATATTCACTGTTCCCATCACCAATGTCAAACACAGGAAAAAGAGATAAAGAATAGTTCATAATCACAATTCCTCCAAGGTCAAATTTATTTTACCATCCTTTTGTTTATTGGTACATTGCTTACACATTTTTGCATTTACTAAATTGTTGTTTTAATAAGTATGGAATTAAAGTTTTATTTAAGCTTTCTTATTATAGGGCAAATAGTTTCTTTTCTACTTGAAGACAGCATTCACATGTCAAATAAGCTAATTAACAAGAAAATATAGCAAGCCAGGCTACCTTTGCAGGAATTTACAACCAACAGGAGCAGTAAATCTTACAGACTCCTTTAACTATTCAAGAAGTTTTCCTATAAAACTGGTTTGAAAGCTAAGTTTGCAGTTAGTTGTCAAATAATGGTTCAGTTCCACCTAAACAAATGTAACCACTGTAAAGTTCTGCAGAAGGATAAGATAATCTTTGTCATTTTTTTACTGTGGGCACACATTAAAAATGAAATTCTGTTGCTTGCTCTCAAAACCTCTTCCTTTTATATCCTCTCCTCTCTCTCCCCCCTCCTCCTCCTCTTCTCTTCTGGGTGTGCTGGAAGTGCTGATCAGCATGTAGCTGCATGCGCCAAACCCCCGGCAGCTCCCACTGACTCTCTCACTCCAAGGCCTGTCTGCTGCTCTCGGTGATAGCAGAGGTTGCCAGAAGCCCCAGCAACACTGCAGCTCCAGCTGGCTTCCCCCCCCCAAGACTGCATGCAGCTGCCAGCCACCCCCCCCCCGGAAGCGCCGATCAGCTGGAGCCTCTTGCGCTGATCCTGGGCCCTCAGCAGAGCCCCAACAACACTGCAGCTCCAGCTGACTCTCGCCCAGCCCTGTGCAACGCTGCCCCCACTTCAACTCATTAGCACTGCTGCTGCTTCAGCTCATCCCCAGCTACACTTATCTAGATTGCGTACCACCTGCCAGGTGCCAAAGTACCCTCAGTGGTACGCCTACCACCGGTTGAAAAGCCCTGCTTTTAGAGTACTAGATTTCAACTGGACAGTAAAGCCACAAAATACATCCCAGTGATTATATTAATAACATATCATCATGCATCAATACATGGAACAACATTTGATAGGTTTTACAGTTAAAAGAAGTTCACAAGATTGGAGCATAAAATGTTTAATCTTAGCATTGCACTGTCTTTATATTTTTTATTTGTCATTCTCTGCAAAATGATAAAATAAATTATATTCCATTTATAGAAATTACAATACTGTTAATCAGAGCTAAGTACTGAACCAGAAGAACAAAATAGTAAAGAAATGTCCACTTTTTTAATGAGCAAATTGTATACTGATCTCTTATATGCTATGAAAATTTAAAAGATATGCAGAGTCAATATACTGTCAACATCACTATTGCATTTCACTGAATGCAAAAATAGTATGCCATTAGTCACAAAACTGCACATTCACTGCCATCCAGTAATATTTAATTGTTCCTCTTAGAATACTATAATTTATACCTTTTTATTTGTGTTTCCAGGGATGTGAACTTCAATTCCCAGACCTCTCAGCAACTGCCATGCTAGCTGGGGAATTCTGGGAGGTGAAGTACGTTAGAAGTTGCCAAGACAAGGAAGCACTGTCTTATGCATTTAAACAATTACTCACTTTTTTTGGTTCCATGGGATAGGATCTACTCCACAATTGGCAAGAAGATGAGGGCTGTACCTCACCTCAACATAGATCACACCCTCCTTTGCTTTCATTTCCACAAATTCATAAGCGATTCTTTGTATAGCTTCTCGGTCACCACTGCGAATAAAAAAGCTTGTTTTATAAAAGGCTAGTTCAGAGTCTGTAAACCATGGATCTTCAGAATCATCAGAGGTTCCAGGAGACAAAGTTCTAAATTCTAGCAACATACTATTTACAATTCTAATGTGTGCCCAACCAAAACAACAACAACAACAACAATATTCTGGTTGTTCAAAGAAGTTTGGTAGTATATAATAAAGATCATACAAAAAGATCAAGATTCTGATTCAGATCCAATTTCCAAAATGTGATGCAATAAGCTATATTTACAAAATAATGCAGGAAAAAATACTTTCCTTATTTGAACATGAACTAAATAGATTCAATTAATGGGAAAGTTCAAAATATTTAAATTTCCAGTTAGCTGAAACACAGAATCTTTACAGTCCTTTCTGCATCCAAGTCAAATAATTTTCTCTAACACATGTATGTAGAATTCAGTAAAATAGTTTTAATTCTACCTGTGCAAAAGAGTACCACACAAATGTATAATCAGGAATTATTGGTGATATTCCTTGCATCAATTCTGATTTGGAAACAGGACATTTTATTCTTGCCAATGTTCTTTTACTATCCATCAAAATCTGTTGCTTATGATTGCGTAAATTTTAACAATGGCATCCAAAATCTATGAGACTGTTTCAAACTTTTGGGCGGGAAATGAGCCAAAAATGTCAGTATTAAAAAAAGCAATGTATGGAATGCCAAGAGGTTTGTGGGCCCCAAAAAACATGCTACTCCTTCCCAGTTTTTAAATACTATGCCTCATCTAAATCATTATTAGGATTTATACCCAGTGCTAGTATTAGTTAAAAAATAACAAAATACACGACTTTGAGCTATTTGCATGAGATTCACAGTCATGTGTTTCCTCTCTCATTTCATTTCTCCCCTCATTTTCTCATCTTAGGTCTGGATTCTCAAAAAGTCTTAATTTGTCTATTGTAAACTAGTATTAAAACCTAGGTTTCAGCAAATAGCTGCCCCATACACATGAAACAGACTTTAATTAGCTGAAAATCATGATACAGTTTTGTCAGAGACAAAACTGATAAACACAACCCAAAATAACATTATCTGGTGTTCTATCTAATTTGATTCAATACAGACAAACTAGCTTCTATCAAAATGCTACTTCTACCCATTAGTTTTTGCCATTCCTTTAGTTTGCTCTTAATCTGTGAACGAATATAACAAAGACTGTTTTTCTTTTTCAACCCCCCCAAAATATTGTCTTAAACTTTATAGTCTATGAATGCTAAACTGAACATTAAGAAATAATTACTAATTAAAAGAAAATCAAATTCAAAAAGAAGATTTCAAATGCCATGAAAGCTTCAGATAGAAAATTTACAAACATACGGGTTTGACTGAATTTAATTTATTCAACAAAACTGCACATCCTCACAATTTCCTCTCCAACAGAAATGTATCCTCAAGTAAGCATGGGGAGCACTCTAAATGTTTGAAAGGCTGTCTATCAGGCAAGATGGTGCTCTCAACTTACTGTGTTTTTTAAATTCATCATCCTCAGCCAGCCTGATCAAAGATAAGACTGTGGAGATTAAAGTCCAAATATCTGGAGGACACCAGATTGCTTACTCCTGCTTTATATAAGTGCCAATCCATAATTTGTAATCATATCTTCTAGCAAGAATAAAATGTTACAATATGTACTTTGGAGCCAAGCTTTAATCTGCTATACTAGTATACCTGCTATATGAATCCATTTGTTCCATTTGGATTCTTAAGCCAAGAACCCCATTTGTTGAACATTCACTGCCTACGTTAGAACCAACTGGATGTGGTGACGCCTATGAACCTGTGACTCCAATTATTCTTATCCTCAGTCCCACCATCATTTACTATAGTTTAAAATTGAAAGACAACAATATCCCTCTGCTTTTCTATAGCAATATAACACAGATAAAAATGCCATGTAAGACAGACTTTTCATGTGGGCAATCCCAAAATTGTTGTGGAGAAAATAAGAGGAGAAAGGAGTTATGTTTGCCACCCTGAGTTATTTATAAAAATAATAAAGATTGGACAAAAAGTAAAAAAAAAATCACAAATATATTGTTATAGGAAGGTATTTCTCTAGCAATACAAATTAAGACATTATATACATTAAAGCAAGAAAGTTTGTAAGAAACAGTATGCAATTTTAAGATTGCACTAATCTCAAGATCACAGCAAGTTGTGCTGATAGCACGTTGTGCTGATCTCAATAAAGCTTTTGTGAAGCCCACATGGCTTCAAGAAGTAGATAATTTTCACATGCCCTTCAAAACTATTCTGCTTACTTGATACTTGATAAGCATAGAGGGTTATAATTTACTAGAGAACCATGTACACTATTAGTATTATTACTATTCTCTCAATTGAACAATGGCATTGATCTTTAAGCAGCCTTACAAATTAGAGTGTGTGTGTGTGTGTGTGTGTGTGTATGCATAAGAGAGAGAGGGAGAGAGAGAGAAAGAAAGAGAAACAGAGAATGCATAAATGCAAATACATAACACACCCACAAGTACAAACTAATACGGGCAGGTAATAAAAAAGGATAAGCATGACATAACAGATTGCTAACCTAGCAAAATGAATATCAGTTCTAAAATACTGAAAATCTTTTTTTACAGTCAGTTAATTGGAACAAATTATTTCACTTACGCAATAGCTGGCATGTACAAAGCAAACTTTTGAAGAAAATGAGTGAGAGTCTCTGGTTCATCATAACTAATTTGTTTTAGAAGGCCGTCTACAGTATCAGCAGGGAGATGTATTCCTCTTTTCCTAGAAATTTTAAAAAAGTTTATATATCAATACTGAAATTAATTTGGGGTTAATTTTGAAAAGTCATTTCTGTTTTGAGTGCATGTACTCATAAAGAAACTGAATAGTCAGATAGCCTTGGATAATTGTTATGCAATAAATTTTAATGTATCCTCAGCTAACTTCTAACCTTAAAAAACAAATATCCATTAAAAGTACATATTTCCTTTCTTGGTGTAACTGTGTTGATAAATGATATTCATGCACATCAGATGTTTCCTGACTCTTATTTCCAATTCTATTGTCTTATTTCCTTATGTCATGAAACAATGCCTTAATAAACAAAACCATCTTACTATTAACAAGAATTTCTAACCCAGTCGCCTTGCACAACAGCCTCAATTTCCATTGGAGTAGTAACTTTTTGGTTACTGAAGTTATATTATTATGCAACAGCTTCTACTAGGATATAAGCCCTGTTCTTACTGTTTTCCATTTTCCTAGCACTTTGCCATAATTTTGTGATACAATCTGTTTTATTCATAAATGTCCAGTAGCTTTTAAACAATTTTTCATGTTCAGAAATTTTAAAAGTCAGATATAGTAGTTGGGTCAGATCCCAAGTTTTTGTATCCTACCTTTTTTCCTAACCTTCAGATTTTTCTGTCTTACTGGGGATCAAATATGAGAAAATGATAGAAGAGATTTTTTGATACAATAGGAACCATAATGGTACAACTATGCTGCCCACTTTTAAGCAGAGTATACAGTTGAGTATATATAATTATGACTACATCATTAATTTACTTCCTGAACTAAAATCTGCTTGTTCTAGAAGAGCTACATGGAATTTTTACTTCCAAATTCATAAATCAAGAACTTTACATAAGAAGTGGGATCAAACATCAAAATGTTTACCTTTTTAAATTTAAGCAGAATAATTGAGAAACAGTCTGCAAACAATATTGATTAACGATACAGTACCAATGGCAAAGTACCAATGGCATAGTTATTTTTTTAAAAAAAGAAGATCCAGAGTTGTTAACTTACTTGCCAAAGTATAGAATAGTTTCTGGTTTAATGGCTCCATCCAAGTGGACATGAAGTTCTACCTGCAACAGAGATAAAAAGTTATATAAATCTACTGTAAGTGGCACATTAGCCATCAATGTTCACATCCAGCTGCTTTTTCCCTCCCTTACAACAAATGTGTTCTCCGCCCCTTCATCAAAATGCAAGCTGTTTTAAAATTTGATGAAAATTCAAATAACCCTGTGAAACAACACAGGAAATTTCAAATTCAAAACAACAAAACAACAAAACACCCTGACTTACATACACATAAATTGCCTTGCTTTTATTGAGGTGTTCTGAACAGAAGCTCATGACTACCCATGACTATTTCTTATATGGGAAAAATGATGTGTAACTGAAGATACAATAGTACCTACATTCTGTGAAAGATCTTTGTATCCAATAAAAGATAAAGGTTTTCCCTGTCCAGTTGTGCCTAACTCTAAGAGGAGGTGCTTATTTCCGTTTCCTAGCCAATGGACCAGCGTTGTCTGAAGGCATTTCCATGGTCATATGGTCAGGATGACTATACGCCAAGGTGCACAAAACACTGTTACCTTCTCACCAAAGTGGTACCTATTTATTTATTCATTCACATTTGCGTGCTTTCAAATTGCTAGATGGGCAGGAGCTGGGGCAAGAAATGGGAGCTCACCCCCGTTGTGCGGCACTTGGGTCTCAAACCCGGATTCTCAGCATTCCAGCTGACAAGCTCAGCATCTTTAACCACTGAGTCATCACAACCCCTTTCTATCCAATATGTCATTTACATTGCATTCTGAATGTCCTGAGGAACTCAAGATACGTGATCCAAGCTTCAGTCATACAATAACCGTGTAAAGTACTTGATTACTAGTCAAGAAGATATATCTCCCCCAAACTGATTCCATAACTGAAGAATTGAAGTACCATATTTTATTATCTGGCATCTTGTACTAATATGAAAATGGCTTTAGTGACATACATTATTGACAAAATGTCTTTCCCCCTCTTTTCATTCCTTTCCCTCTTGCACAGAGTATTTGCAGACTAGACAAAAGATTCGCATGACTATGTAAATAACATCCAATCCAGATGAATTCTTGTTTTCCCTTTACAGGTAGTCCTTGACTTATGACTGTTCATTTTACAACAGTTCAAAGTTATAATGGTCTCAGAAAAATTGATTTACCACCTGTCCTCAAAGTTATGACCATTGGAACAGCAACACTGTTACGTTATCACAATTTGGATATTTCACAAGTGGCTTGTATTTACAACTAGTTGCAGCATCCTGCAATCATGATTTGTGACCTTCCCAGATAGTTTCAAAAAGCAACATCAATTGGGGAAGCCAGATTTGCTTAACAACCAATCGATTTACTTAATGATAAGTAATGATAAAAATGGTAGCAGGTCTAGTTATGCAATGACTTGCTTTACAGCCACACTGCCTTACTATGGAACTTCCAGTCCCAATTATGGTTGTACGTTGAGGACAACCTGTATTAAGTTATATTAATTTTCTATAAATGGCACCAAGAAGTTTATACAAAGCAGGACTGTTAATGATATAAATGATTTTTCATAACAGTGCCAAAGACATAATAAAATGTACAGAATTCAGAATGAAAGACGCTTCTGGGAAAAGATCTGTTTCAGTAGGTTTTAGATTAGCATGTACAAATTACAATTTTTGTCATGTGAAAAGAATAAAAAGAATTTCCATAAATAAAAAGTATATATAGCTAAAAAGAACAATTATGCAATGGTGTATAAATTGTGTGTAGAGGAAAATACCTATGACACAAGCCATACTTTGACATTCCTGGATTGCCTGCAACAAATTATAAAAAAAGTAATGCATGTATTGCATTTCATAATAAATGAATGAGCCTAAAATATTAAGTGAATAGGAATTTAGGATCATGTTTCTTCTGATCACCAAATAAAAATTTGTACTAGTTACTATCTACCAGCGAATAGGCAGCACTGTAAGCAAATTCTTGAATTTACTAGAATAACATGGAATTATCATTAGGCTTTCCAGCTAGCTGCTAACTTCTTAGTGATAATCAAATGATCTCATATGAATGAAATGTACTTTGAGTTTGTTTTCAGAACTATGACCCAAAATCAACCAGCTAGTGAGACTACAACTCACAGTCTCCTGGCTTCTAGCTTTCTTATATACAGATTATATATATATATATATATATATATATATATATATATATATATATATACCACCACACACACACACACACACACACACACACACACAACACACACACATATATATATATATATATATATATATATATATATATATATATATATATCTTATATATAAACCATGTCTGTTATTTCATACATTATCATAGTATTGAGGAAGCCAAGCCAAATCTATCAGCTAACATAGATGTGTGTGTTGAGAAGAATATCAATCTTGCTGTCAAGGAAAATCAAGCTTTTAATAGTGAGTGCCTCACAAAGTGCACTAATCAAACAGATGGTAAGAAAATAGGGGAACTTAGGCACCACACAGGTTATGTAGAACGTAAACGCAGGGTTAGTCATAAAGGACTCAAATGTCTATACATCAATGCACAGAGCATGAGCAACAAACTGGGTGAATTAGAAATTCAGGTAAATGAGGGCAGATATGATATTGTTGCCATTACGGAAACATGGTGGGATGAAACCCACAACAGCTAGAGGGATTTAAATTATTTAAAAGAAACAGATCAAATAAAAGAGGAGACGGAGTTGCTCTCTATATAAGAAATAATTATATCTCTACAGAAATAGAGCACAACAATGATGAAAACGGTCTTGAATGCATTTGGGTCAATATAAAAGGGGGAAAAATGACATTGCTATCGGTGTATACTATAGGCCACCCAACCAAACAGAGGTAATAGATGAACTTTTTGCTAGTCAATTAACTACGATATGTAGGAAGCACATCACAATAGTAATGGGGGACTTTAATTACCCTGACATCAAGTGGGAGATAAACTCTGCACCAAGTGGAAGATCAAGCAGATTCCTGACAAACCTAGCAGACAACTTTGTCTCCCAAAAGGTAGAGAGGGGAACTAGGAAATCAACCATATTGGACTTAATTCTCATTAACAGAGATGAAATGACAGAAGGTGTTGAAACCACAGGAACCTTGGGGGAGGAGTGATCATGCAATATTGGAATTTAACATTATGCAAGCACAAACAATATAAAATAGTCAAATTAGAGTCTTGGACTTTAAGAGAGCTAATTTCAGCAAACTTAGAGAGAGCTTGGGAAGGATTCAATGGATGAGAATCCTCAAGGGGAAAACAACACAAGAAACTTGGAAAATTTTGAAAAGTGAAATTATAAAAGCCAGTCTAGCACAATACCAACAAAGAAGAAAAATAACAGCTCTCAAAAGAAACCAACATGGCTGCATAAAGAACTCTCTGATAAATTGAAAGACAAAAAGGGCAAGTATAGAAAGTGGAAAGAAGGGCACATACCTAAGGCAGAATATCAGCAAGTAGCCTGAGCCTGCAAAGATGAAGTGAGGAAAGCTAAGGCTCAAAATAAACTAAGGCTTGCAACAAAAGTAAAAAATAACAAAAATGCTTCTTTCAACATGTAAAAAACAAGAAAAAAGTTAAGGAAACAATTGGTCCATTAGTGGGAGAAAGTGGCAAGAAGGCGACAAGCAACAGGGAGAAAATAGAACTACTGAACTCGTTTTTTGCACAAAGGGAAAAAACAGTCCACCCTATCAAACAGTACTGTAAAAAACAGATTAGAAACATAAGTTCAGATAGACAAGAAAATGGTAAGTGAGCACTTGTCCATCCTAGATGAGTTCAAATCACCAGGACCAGATGGATTACATCCCAAGATTCTCAAGGAACTGGCAGATGTGATCTCAGAACCACTGAATTATATTTTTCAAAGATCCTGGAGCACTGGGGAACTACCGGAGGACTGGAAAAGAGCTAAAGTAGTTCCTATCTTCAAAAAAGGAAAAAAAATGGATCCAGGAAATTACAAACCTGGGAAGATCTTGGAAAAGATAATCAAGCAACGAATCAGTGAACACCTAGAGGCAAACAAAGTCATTACCAAAAGCCAACATGGGTTTGTCAAAAACAGATTATGCCAGACAAATCTTATTGCATTCTTTGACTAAGTGACAAAATTAGTTGAGCAGAGGAATGCTGTGGATACAATTTACTTGGACTTCAGTGAGGCATTTGATAAAGTAGACCACAACCTACTACTTGATAACATAGAAAAATGTGGGTTAGACAGCATCACCGCCAGATGGATTCATAGCTGGCTGACTGGCCGTATTCAGTGTGTGATCCTCAATGGAACCACATATACATGGAGGGAAGTATGTAATGGGGTGCCTCAGGGCTCTGTTCTGGACCCAGTGCTCTTCAAGATCTTCATCAATGATTTGGATGAGGGGATAGATGGGGAACTCATCAACTTGCAGATGATACCAAGCTGGTAGGAATAGCCAACACTCCAGAAGAATAGACTTAAGATACAGAAGGATCTTGGCAGACTTGAACATTGGGCGCTATCTAACAAAATGAAATTCAGTGGTGAAAAAAGTAAGGTTCAAATGCACAGGTATAGTATAGGTGAACCTTGTTCAATAGTAGCAACTGTGAGAGGGATCTTGGAGTCCTAGTGGACAATCACTTAAATATGAGCCAGCAGTGTGCTACTACTGCTAAAAAAGCCAACACAGTATTAGGCTGCATTAACAGAAGGACAGAATCAAGATCACATGAAGTGTTATCTTAGCATCTACTTCTGTCCTACTATCACAGCACCATTGAGAGTGTCCTGACATACGGCATTCTTGCATGGTATGGAAATAGCTCTGTAGTGGACAAAAAAGCTCTACAGAGAATCATTAAAACTGCCCAGAATATTATCGGATTTCAGCTACCAGCCCTGGGCAACATCTTTGAATCTCGTTTGAGGAAGTTGTATAACATTCTCAGGGACTCTTCCCATCCTGCTTACAATCTTTTTGGACTGT